GTATTAGATCAAAAGGGTGCTTCTACTAAATACTGAGCAAAGGGTCTGAATACTTAGGACCATGTGATATTTCAGTTTTTCTTTTTTAATAAATCTGCAAAAATGTCAACAATTCTGTGTTTTTCTGTCAAGATGGGGTGCTGTGTGTACATTAATGAGGAAAAAAATTTAACTTAAATGATTTTAGCAAATGGCTGCAATATAACAAAGAGGGAAAAATTTAAGGGGGTCTGAATACTTTCCGTACCCACTGTATATGCTGTGTTAAGTACCAACAATCAGTTTATTGAAATAACCCGTTTTACTGGTTTACATGCAAACCAATAACCCGGCAATGCAAGTAAACCGTGTTTGCAAGACTTTATTAAAAATCTGTATATTTCCTGTTGGTGGTTATAGCAAAACGTAAGCATCCATGTAATCTACCATTTGTTATGTGATGATAAATAAATGCATACTGTTAAATTAAATTCCAAAATGTCAGGGAAGATTTGCACAGACTCATTCTCCCCTCATATTTGAAGTTTCTAAGACTTGTACCACTTGTCATATGGCTGCACGAGATCAGAACATATTTTTTAATTCAATTTCTTGGGTCAAAAAAGAGGCGGAGTTTGCAATATATTTCCACCTCCCGTACCGTGAAACATTTGCTGTGGTTAGATGTGCTTCCTCTGATATATTACACAGGTGGTTACATGCTGGGCAAAGTCGGGGTAATGGACAAAAATCTAGCTGTGTTGATCAGTTTATGATTAAAGGCACGGTAGGTGATTTGGTTCAAAAACATTTTTTGTTATGCTGGTTGAAAGTCTCTTCACATGCCGATAGCAATCACTAGGTTATGTCGTCTAAATGTATTTATGGTCTGTGAAAGGCATAAAATATTTGTCCAATCAGATTGTTTGGTCTGAAGATTATGATAAGCTGTTTTACCTGCCTGTAATATATCATGAAACTATATCATGAAATATATAAATTCTCAAATATGTGTAAGTAAATGCTTTTTGCACCTTTATAGATTATGTTAGTTGATCTGTAATGGGCGATGGGCACAGTAGCCTAATGTTAGTGTAATCTATTAACTACGCATAAAACCTGTCTTTTTACTTAAATACCAGATATGGGTGTCATGACGTGAATTTAATAAAAACATTGAAAGTTACTAATTATAACACTTTCATTGTACAGAAAGAGAGCAAAGATCATTTACATTATCAAATAACTTTATCATTGACTTCAGTCTAGCCAGAGTTCAGGCACTTCACTTTCAAAAACTCTCATTATAATCACTGAAGCTGTTTACACTGTGAAATGAATGTCTTATTTACATCGTAAGCACATCTGCACTTTGTTGTTTCTGATGAGCGAATTCGCCAGAAGCGTGCGCACTGAACAGAACACCGGCGTTTCAGCAATGACTCATCTGAATGCCTCTGATTGGCCATCGCATTCATAAGCTCAACAGAATCGTGTGTGATTGGTTATAATGCGCAGCAATGTAAAAACGCGTCTGTCTCTGGCTCAGCACCAGCCAAAGCATGAACGCAGATTTGAATTGAGCATTATATAAAAAATATTATTTGGCTATTTTTGTCTTTTGTAACCTGCATTCAAAATCCACTTGGCCCAAAAATCTGAGGGGCACATCCCCCCTCACTTTGAATGGGCATGATGCCTCTAAGCATCTGACAGGGCAAACCGCTTTAAACTATACATGCTAACTATATCTTATTTAAAGCCCTTAATATAAAGCATGTCACAAACTGGATTATGCACTTGCCCCATAGCAGCTCACTCTGTGTCTTCCGCTATTTTTCAGATGCACTCGTATCAAACTACAGTATATCAATATAAAAGGTTTTGCCTCATACCACATTGCTTATAAAGAATAGATCAATATATTGTACAAACTCGATATACCGCCCAGCCCTACGTTTTAACATGTTTACATGATCACATGCAATGTTGCCGTATTAAAAATAATGATCGCTTTAATCTGTTTAAGAATGTGCGTGTAAATGCACTCTGTGCATTTCCAACAATTCAATCTGTTCCCGATGGACAAAATCAAGTCCCACTATGCATTACTATATGATAGAGTGCAGTTATAACTTGAAATTATTATTTGGCATAGCCGGTTGGTAGAATAAAGATAAAGCAGCTCAGTTACTCAGTAAACAGCTGTTATATCCTCATTTGAAATGAGAGCATATCAGAACATTTAAACTATTTTATCATCTGGCTGTGAGTGAACAGTCTCTTAAGTACATATTAGAAGAGATAAGTAAAATTGACCTACAAAGAAGAAAACCAGTGTCTCTTGTGTGAGTACCTGTTTTTAAAGTATTTCAGAGTACCAGCATATTCTTTTTATCTACTAGTTATGTGCCAATTTAGATTGCTTAGATTCTCTAGAACATGTTACTGAAACATTTTCACATCAGTTATTGTTAAACAAGTAGTATATTACAGTTCAAATTGCAGCTCTCACCATTCTTGCTATACTCTTATTGAAGTCACTGTTTATTAGTGATTTACATTTCTGAGTTTTATTTCATGCAATTGTTTTTTATTATTATATCTTGATTAGGTTTTGCTGGAATGGGTAATCTTCTAAAAGTCCTTACAAGGGAAATAGAGAACTATCCACATTTTTTCCTGGACTTTGAAAGTAAGTTTTAAGAAGAGGTGGAGTCTGGGGTTGGCGAGACTCTATAACCAGCTGTTTTTTCCCCAGCAGTGGCAGGAGGAGCTAGACTGACAGTCTCAAAGCTCTTATAAGACAGCTTTCCCTCTTTGCTTTCTTGTGGTGAAAGTTTATGCTTCCTACTGTCCGGAGCTGACGCTTTGTCTAAAGTGTGTCCTACGAATTAACTAGAAGAAAATGGCTGATTTCTCCGTGATTTCTTAAAGTAAAAAGGAAAAGCAAAAACAATTCAGATTCAATTTTAAATGATTACCATGTTCACCATGAGAAGTTGAGGGAATTCTGTGTAGGAGCATAAGACTTTGCAGAATCCCTCTTTAGCGCTCAGTGACATCC